ATGGTTGCTTCACAGCTGCCGCTAAGCTGCAGACTCTGCTGGAGTCGGAGGGGCCTCCGCTGGGTCCTTCCTCCCAGCCGCAGACCCCCTCCTGAAACCGCTCTGCCCCTGCTCCAGCCGGGGGTGAGGCTGGCCTCGCCCCCGCCCCCGCCCGTCCTCCCTGTCTGGAACCCAGCAAACAGCCTGTTCCCCGTGAGCAGGACCCACCAGCCCTCTTCCTGAGTGCCCCTGACCCTGTGACCTTCCGGGGGTGTCCCTGACCACTGGCCAACACCAGGGTTGCTTTTCCGGGTCCCACCATGTGCCTGCCTGGTCTGATGGCAAGTGCCAGAGCCCCTGGCTTAGCCAGACAGCAGCCGACAGATCCGACCCCTTCTAGCTGGCCACGCTCTGCAACCACACGGGCCAAAGGAGGAACGCAAGCCGGTAGAGGGCAGGAACTCAGAGCAGGAGAGACTTTCCTGTGGCCTCTCTCCACCCCCAGGCCCGTCGGGGGGCATTTTGACCTGAGGCTGGAGAGGGGAGGAGGGGATCTTTCAGGTGAAAGTGAGGCCATGCTGTCACATACGCAAAAGGACCGGACGCTCTGAGTGGCTAAACAGAAGGCAGCTTTGGGAAGCACACACAGCACGGCGTCCTGCGCCCGGCTGAGGTCAAGCGTCCGGCCCCTCGTCCGGCCCTCGCTGTCCCGCCTCCGTTCCCAGACCCTTGTCTCCCCGAGAAGCGTATTGTCCCCTCCCCTAGGGCATCGGCTGGCCGGTCTGATCAGCGTGCGGGCCTCTCGAGTGGGGGCCTCTCGGAGGAACCCAACCCTTGCCTCCTTCACGTTGGATCCGGATTTCCAACAGGGAATCGCGGGGGTGGCAACCAGGTCTGCGAACAATTTCCAGTTCTTCAAAATGCCTCACAGAACCACTGCATTTCCAAGAGATGTGGTTGCAAGTGTGGTGAAAACATCTGGGGCTGGAATCCTACTAACTCTGCGGTAACGCCAGCCCTCCCGTGAAGGTGGTTACGGACATGGAGGGCCTCTCTGTGCGGCAAAGACAGGGAGGAAGGCCGTCAAATGGTCGTCTCACCCGCTGGCCATTCTGCTGGCCGTTTTTCCTGCCTCCTGGCCGGCCGGACGTTCCTCGAGAGCAGAACACCCACCTGGCACGGGCAGACCCTGCCTGCGATCCCTCCACGGAGAAGACAGGCCCGGCTCCTCCCCCGCCGTCCCCCGCCAGTGCCCTGGTCACGGTGGGGAGCACCGAGCCACACGGAGCAGGAGCCGTGTTCTTAGGGAATGGGTTTTATGGCAGAGTTACTTTTATGTTTTTTAAGATGTTTTAAACGGTAGTATTTTATGTGATTGCACCCCGGGGCTTTGTATTGCAGGGCACGGTTTACAAATGGACTAAATAAATAAGATTCTGACATAGTTGAGATGCAGGGGAGGCCAGACTAGCTGTACGTCCTAGTGGGATAGAATTCACAAAATCCATACATGGGTTTGTTTCTGCTCTGGGGAACAGGAAGGCATTTTTTAACAAAACATAAAAAAAAAAAAAGTGAGGGGGGGTGCTCTCCAGATTAATTTTACATCCAAATGGACCCCATCCGTTTGCTTATGATGGGCAGCGTGTGTGCAAACTGGCATCCCAAAACCCCTTCCTTGAGCCATGCAGGGTGAGGGCCAGGCTCCCTGGGCAGAAACGGCCCTGTTTCTCTACAGAAAAGCTCAAATTTGGAGGTCACTCAAACGCAGGCAGGATCACTCTGAAATCATCTGGAAGGGAGTCATTTAGCTGAATCAGTGTTCTATAAAAGGCACGATATGAACACGGCGAGCCGACTGGAAGGTACTTGGAGAGCTGTAGGCTAAGAGACACTCGCTTTGATGAGTTTGAAGGATGAGCCCATTTCGTAGTAAGGACGCACTTGGCTGGGCTCTTCTGAGGTCAGGGCCACACGGGGATGGAAGGTGCCGATGGCTTTGGCTGCTCGCACTGAGGGCAGGCCCGGCGGTGGCCACGCCGGGCAGTGTGTTCACGGTGCATGCGGGCCGTGCTGGGGCCGTGCAGGTGCCGGGCGGTGCTCCTGGCGGGCTCTGCTGACCAGTGTCAGAGGGGCCACCTCACCTCTTCCTGCTCCTCCGGGGGATGAGCCATAGACACCGGTATGTTGAAAGCTCTCAGAAATCCCGAGTGGAGAGCCTACGAGGCCTTTTTGTAATACGTCATCTTCAAACTTACTTAACCAGGGAGCCCCATCTCCGTCCTGGAAAATGCTGCGTTCGTATGGCTTTCACTGTGCGTCTTCCTCCCGAAATGTGGAATCTCAGTTCTCCAGCTACACCGAATACAACCAACACTTTCTCTTCGTCTGCGTGTTCATGAGCGAAAACGTTGTCTCTCCGTGGTCAGGGTTGTCTGAACCTGGGCAGTGATATTTGCAGCGACAGCCTTTCTCCGTCCTTGCTTCGGAGTCCAGGAGAAAGTTCTCACGAGGGGCCGGAGGCCTCTAGGCCACTGGTTAGCCAGCCCACTCAGGCTGAAGAGCCCCACTTGGAGGAAGCCCAGCTTTTAGCTATGATGAAGGTTCCTGCCTCTTTTTCCCCGTTCTCTCCTCCGAAGTCCGGAGGCTCCAGGTCACCTGCCCAGGTGACACAGAGCTCGATGCGCCTCGGAGTGCAGCGGGAGGGGAGGGGGGCCCGGGCCGGGGGCAGGAGCACGGGGGCCTCCCCGGTGTGGTGAGGGAGACCTGGGCCACCTCCCCGCGCCGCACCGTGAGGCTGGCTCTTGGGTTTGTCAGCCCCACTTACTGGCTTAAACTCTAATTACACTTATCTGTGCTGAAAATTGGCTATCACCACCACTTCAACTCCTCCTAATTGCAAGAAATAGTTCCTCAGCAAGCTGGGGACGCCGTCCTTGTGGTCGCGGTGGAATAGGCGGTGTCCGGCCGCGTCTCTAACTCCGGCCACCTCCTGGCCTTTGCTCTTGGTGGTTCCAGGGGTGAGCAAGGTGGTGACGGTGGACGTGAAGGGGAACTGGCAGCGCTGGCTGAAGGTCCGGGATCTCACCAAAGGAGCGACCTACTTCTTCCGTGTACAAGCGCGGACCATCGCCTATGGCCCCGAGCTGCAAGCGAACGTCACAGCCGGGCCCGCCGAGGGTAAGTGGAGCTCCGCCGGGGGCCCCGCGGCCGGTGCAGCGCGAGCGGCCCACCCTGGGCTCTGTCCGGTCGGAGGGTCCCCCCTCGCTGCCCGGCAAGCAGCTCTGGCCCACCCAGGGCGGCCATAAACGCAGGAATGTTCCGGCAGCATGGGTGTCTCCAAACACCTGTGTTAGCAGCAATGTCTACAGACAGGCTTGTTATGTGCAGACCAGCAAACTCTTCGGTGTTAAGCATGTCAAGTTTGGGGCTGTTTTCTGGAAAAACTTGGGAAAAATGAATTTTTGAAATTAGATACACAAGAAACTTTTGTTTACATTTTATTAAGTTTATTTTTGAGAGAGAGAGAGAGAGAGAGAGGGAACAAGCGGGAGAGGGGCAGAGAGAGACAGGGAGACATAGAATCCAAAGCAGGCTCCAGGTTCTGAGCTATCAGCACAGAGCCCGATGTGGGACTCAAACCCACAGACCGAGATCATGGCCTGAGCCAAAGTTGGACACTTAACCGACTGAGCCACCCAGGCGCCCCCATACACAAGAAAATCTTAAAGTGTTCACGTCACAAAGAGGAGCCACGTGGCTTCCCACCCACCTAAATGGTTTTGGCATTTGTTGACATCCTTAGCAAGGCGAGGGTGACAGGACCTCGGTTCACAGGGTGCACGCCCCACGCCAGGCACGATCCTGGGCCCGTTGCACGGCCCATCTCTGCTCACGTCCGGTCAACCCGGGAGGCCAGGGTGGCTTTCCCACGTCTAGGATGAGAAGACCGTGACAGAGCGAGGCTAAGCCACATGCTTGGGGAAGGAGACAGAACCTGGCCAGAGCCGCCGACCCCCTGTGGGATGAGGAGCCCCCAAGTGCCCACCTCCACCCTCCCCTGTCTCTTTTATCCCGCAGGCTCCCCGGGGTCCCCCAGAGATGTCTCGGTCAGCAAGTCCGCCTCTGAGCTGACCCTGCAGTGGACGGAGGGAAGCGTGGGCAGGACTCCCACCACGGGCTACGTCATCGAGGTCAGGCCCTCAGGTAAGGAGGGGGTTGGGCACCTGTCAAGGAGCCTGTTCAGCCTAGCGGAGGCGAGTGTCAGGGCCCTCCGGCCTCCGTTCGGCCTCTCTCTAAAGATGTGGAGACCACGAGGGCGACTCGAGGAAGGGCGAGGCACGTCCCTCCCTCCGCCGTAACCTCGCGGGCCTGAGATTCTCGATGGTTGGCCACAGGACACGTGCCTCAGAGCCTGGTCGTCGTCATCCTCAGAAACATGTACATGAAAACACAGGGACGCTTACAGACACTTGCGGCTCCTCGGGAAGATCCAAGAGTGTTTTGGGATGCTCGCCTCAGGCTCCGCCTGTTTGCCTCGACGGACAGAGTCCCGCTCGCTCCCGATCAGGGCACAGATTCCTGTCCACGCCCTCTGCCCCATCTTTTAGGCTCCCGAAAATGAGGTCTCAGTCCATTCCCTACCCTATCTGCCCGAGGAGGGTTTTCGCTCTCTTCCTCCCGTTCAGCCGTAATAACGAAGCATGGACGTTGCTGGAAGATCAATTTCTGCTGCGTGGAGTCGGCTACTACTCCTTGGAGCCACGGGGGCATCACCCAATGCAGAGAACACCGAGCACGTCCACTGTGGCCTGCAGGTGGTTGCACGTTGAATCGTGAGCACCTGAGCACGAAAATACAGGGTGTGCCAGGGCTGCGGGCAGAGAGCCCTCTGACAGAGCCCACCCTCAGCGCCGGGCGTCATTTTAGCCGGATATTTAAAGAAGCTATCACACCAAGAGGGAAGGGCTGTGAAGTCACTTAGGACTGTGCCAGATGCCCCTCCCCCATCAAAGTGCTTTTTCAGAGGTTACTCGTTGTAAGCACCTCCTAGAAACTTCCAGGTAGAAGTCTGGCGCCCGAGACCCAAACAGGCCCCGTGAAAGGCAATATGTAAAGTTCTTCAGCCCCTGAACTCACACGTTCACCGTGCCGCCCTGAGGGGTCCTGGAGCTTATGCTGAGCGAGGCTTTCGGCCTGTTCTGGAAACGGAGGGTCGCAGATGGGCGACGGGCCTCCTGCGGCCACTGGGTTCCCCTGCCCCGTCCCTCTGAAAGCCGGCGGCCCCGAGAGCAGACAGCAGGCTCTCCGCCGAGGACACTTGATCCCACGGCACCTTCAGAGATTGGCAGGAGCCTCGAATACAGGCCTGGTGAGGTCTGGGCCCAGCTGAGGGCTGAGGAGCCTGCACGGACGGACCCCAAGGAAGGAAGTCGACCCTTTCTCCCCGAATCTAGGGAGAGCGTTCATTGCACAGGTTCCTTTGTGCCCTTTCGGGCTACCAAGGGCTCCTGAGAGAATTCGGGAGATCTGTGGACATCGCTCAGCACCAACTGACCTTCAGCATTTTCTTCCCTTATGAATGTAGGCGTGTTCGTGTATTCTGGCTGCTATGACCATGTACCCCGCACCTGGCGGCTTACCCCGCGGCACGTACTGTCTCCCGGTCTAGAGGCCCGGTGTCTGAGGACAGGCGTGGTGGGGTTGGGTCCTGTGAGCTTGTGAGCGGAGGTCTGCTCCGTCCTCTCTCCCAGCTTCAGGTGGTTTGCCATCAACTCTGGGCCTTCTTGGGCTGTGGAGGGATTTCCCACCCCCTCCCTCCCATCTCCACCTTCTCTCTGTGTGCCCTCCGGTCCCTGTGCCCGAACTTCCCCTTCTATGAGGACACCAGTCATACCGGGTTAGGGCCCACCCCCAAGACCTCACCTTGACTGATTACATCTGCAAAGACCCTCTTTCCAAATAAGGTCACATTCTGAGACATTGGGGATAGGACCTCAACCACGTGAATTTTGAGGGGTCACAATTTGACCTACAACAGTTGGGTTGAAACCGCATAAGTAACTTCCCAGCCTGTGGAATTGTCAGCAGTAGAAACCACACTGGTTCCCATCCCGACCCGGCTGGGGTGGGTGTTTCACAAGGTGGTGGGCCTCGCCATCCAGATGTTCCCTGGAACTTGTGCTCCAGCGCGGCCCTGGAGGAATCCAAGCCTTTGCACCCCATCTTCCAAAGAACCACGGAGCCCAACAGGCGCATCGAAAACCACACGTGACCCACACAGTCAGCATCCCTAGGACACAGGGTTGCTGTGAACCTCCAGTTCCCTCTGGGTAATTACAGTCACTAGCAGCATAGCTGGCTTCCTTCTTAGTTTTATTTTCTGCATCTAAAGCCGTTCTGAGAAGGGCTCCCTTCAGAGTCAGCAGATTGCCGGAGGGGTCCGTGGCACCGGGAGGAGACAAGAAGGCTTGTCCTCGGTGACACAAGTGGAAGACCTTTGCCAAGTCATTTCCTTCGGCCCACACGCTTGCTCCCCGACAGAGAGTTAAAAACCCCAGTGGATGTATAGATGTGAGAGGCCACAGCGGGGTCACTGGGGCGACGGAAACGCTCTGTGTCCGGACCATGTCGACGTCAGTTCCCGGTTGCGATGCTTCGCTGTTGTTCTGAGGGGTGATACCATCGGGGGACCCCGGATACAGGATGCGTGGCATCTCTCCATAGTATTTCCCATAACCGTGTGGGGCTCTACAGTTATCTCAACATAAAAAGCTCCACTCAAGATTTTAAAATACATACGTGTATCCCACGGATGGTGTCCTGTTCAGTCAAGTGCAACGGCACATCTTTGAAACGAGCATTCTCGTGTCAGAGATCAGCCGTGGGGAATGTGCCACAGCAGCAGCCAGACACGGGCGCAAGGGCTCAGAATCCTAACAGTGCAGAGCACATTCCGGCACCTTCTGAGGAAAGAGAAGGTATTGATCCTCAGACTTGCCTGGGGAGCCATTTAATTTCTCATCAGGTTATCAGATGCTCACGCGTCCACCGTAGCGAAGGAAGCCGGTGGCCTGTTGGCCAGAAGTGCAGCTTTAGGGAGTCTGCGAGGGGGTGTGTGAGGAAGAGCTGATCGGGGTGCCGGCCCGGGTCTCATACTGAGCCCCCCGCCCGGAGGTCCTCGGCCGAGCGGGCGCCTCCTGAGACCAGCGAGGCCCGGGGGTCGTGCCGCCACGTGGAAACCAACCCCCAGGGACTGAGACGCCACAGGAAGCTGGCCTGCAAGACGCCGTCTCGTTCAGCGGGCGCGAGAGATTTTGGCTCCCCTGGTGTCCTGCGACCGATTCCCCCTTTCAGACCGTCCGCCCAAGCAGAGCGGCTGCAGGGCTTCGCCGTCTTCCCGCGGAAAGGCCTCCTCCCTCCCGTGACTGAGGCCAGCAGCGACGCAGAGGCAAATGAAATGCTTTTATGGATTGTCAATATTTAAACACCTTGCTGGTGCCTTAGGGCTTTGGATCTCAGCTGCCATCTATTACAGGCCTCATTACACAACACATTAAACGCTCTATCTTATTTTCTCCACCGAAGCTCTCTGGCAAGACTTTCTCCAGGCAGGGGCGTGGGTGTCAAAGGGAGTGGGGATTTGGTGGACGGGCCCGGGTTTTCGTGAAGAGGCCTTATTTTTTATTGGGGGTGGGGAGGGCAGGAGCCACCCGGCACACAGGTGACACCCGGCACACCCCTGGGTATCTGGGAAGCCTGAGCCACTTGGCACTAGGTGGCCCCTGGAGCCCCCACCTGTCTGCCCGGCCTGCCGTCTTCCTGTCCAGCTGAGTCTCTGTCTCAACCCCCAGGAGGCAGGTGGCTGATCAGGGGTGGCTGGCACCTCGAGGTGGCCAGCGGGCTCGGGCAGCCCCCCTCACCCTTCTGTACCCTCAACTGTCACCCCTACAATCTCTGCAGAGTAACTCACTGCTTCCCTAACGTGGAGACAGAACCAGACGGCGGCGGTGACATTACTGTCGGGCTGGAGCCCAGAGTCCCTCTTACTCCGGGGAAGGACAGTCAGGGAGTGCGGGCGCGAGGACAGCCTGGCCAGAGACACCTCTCTCTGGTTGCGTGCACGTTTGCTCCGAATCCGCGTTGCAAAGTTCCCTGGAAGGCGACGGAGACTATGCAGTGGGCACAGGCGGATGATTTATTTACACAAATTACCCCAAGGCATTTTACTGTGTAGATCACGAAACCTAATTTACATATTTACACAATAGACCGGAATGGCAGCAAGGGAACTATAAATATATTTTCCTCTCCGAAGCAGCCGTGAAATACATACTTAGGATGTACCCGGTGCAGACAGACATTGTATTGCCTTTTTCACAAGCAGCATCTTTAGCCCAGAGATGAGAGCTGGTCCCTCCTCGTCCCCATCCCCAATCTGGACCTGCCTCATCCACGCGGAGTCCCCCTGGGAGCCCCCCACCCGCCTCCCCACTCTCCACCGTCAGCCTCTGGCCGAGGGATTTTCAGTTGAACAAGGAACAAAATCAGTCTTTTCCCAAAGGTTTTAAAACCCATGGAAATTCCCAAGTCAGCAAATTCAGCAGGGGGAAGGAGCCGCGGGCACAGGTCCGACGGCGCCCGGCCTGGCACCCACTCCCGGCCTCCTCACACCCACGTCCGCTGACCGCCCGTCCGCCGGGGCGCCCTGCCGCCCGCTGGGCTCAGCCTGTCACGGGCCTCCTTTGCTTCTAGACATTCATCCCCGCTTGTCTCCCGCCTTACGACTGGATCAGATACAAGGGAATTTTTTTTCCTGCCCCGCGAGGTATTTAGCCTCATGTTTGAGCCCCACCTGCTTCAGTCAAATTTCGGACCGAGATTGACCACAGATACAACAGAAATGGCAGCGTCGAAGAAACACACGGCCGACAGGCGTCCATTTGCTCCGAGCCACAGCCTGACAGTCACGTTGTTGGTGACATGAGTTAGTGGAACCAGAAATCTCGGGCCCGTGAGTGACAGTTTCATTCAGCACGGAGACCCTGTTTAATTGTCCGTGAAATCAAACTTTCGTGCTGGCCTGGCATCCGCCTGAATACCTGCGGCACACGGCTCCGTTCTGGGCGTTCGAGGGATAAATCGAGCGACCCGCGGATGTGCCCGAGCTGGGCTCCGTCTCGATCCAGAAGAGAGGTGTTCGTGTTCCCACGTTTATTAGGACATCGTCTGGGAGCTGCCGGGGCGGGGGAGAGGCCGGGCTGCCCATTCTGTGAGCCGCAAGCAGGCCTGTCGTGAGGCAGCAAAACCGTTCAGACCGGAAGAGGGTTCTTTCCACAAGGACCTTGACCATCGGCTGCTTCCCCGTGTCTGACGCACAGATAATGCGCTGCAAGCGGCAGAGACAAAGAGTTCACATTCTTTCCCGAAACATGAGCCCGCTGAGGAGCCAGACCGTGTGTGTGGCTTCTTACCACCTCCCCCGAGGCTGGTGGGACCTGGGGTGTCTTTAGGGATAATTGCAAAGTTTCTCCCTCAGCGGTGTCCCCCCCCGCCCTCCACCCCACGCTTAGCTGGTGGGGGCAGGATTGCTGTCCCTGGCAGGTGTTTGAGTGGCGAGAGTCCAGGGAGGTGCTCCCCCAGGTGTCCAGGAATAGGGGGCAGGCCCCGCCACACCAGTGTGATTTGGGCTCACTCCCCCGCCACGGGCCCCCCTCCCACAGACATCAAGACCACGCCCCCAGGAAGTCCAACGCCCCAGAGCCCGCAGAGGACACAGCACGGGGCATCAGCCATTCAGGGATGCAGCTTTGGAAGGTATCTGGACACAGGAGCTCCCCGAGCGCAGACGGGAAGGCAGGCCGGGGCCCCCTGAGCATCCCAGTGGGGGCCAGTCTCACCTGGGTCTGAGGGCTGGCTGAATCGGACCCCCAGAACCACCTTTGGAATGAGCGAAGGCCCACACTGCTCTCAAGCGTTGATTGAGATGGAAATCCGGACGCTGGGGATTATCCCTATGCATGGAAAATCAGTTGCACAAACCTCATTATGGCTAATAGTTCTGTAATGTTATTTTCCCCCCTAATTTGTAGAGATACTTTTCTCCATCATTGATTTATTGAGATACTTAACGGCACAATAGAAACGAGAAAAAAACAATCCACGGTGGGGAAAGAGAGTGGACGCGTTAACAGCTGCCAAGTTTTCATACCCACTCATGATCACGATGTAAAGATCAGTACAGATAAATAGCCCTGTGAATTGGAAGCAAATTCTAAAACGCAAAATGTGCTAATTTTGGCAAGGAGGAATTAAGCAAAATAAAAATGTGAACATTTTCTTCTCGTAGTTCAGAAGGAAATTCTCTCGGCATGACTCTCCCTCCCCCAACATTTTTCAGTGTAAACGGATTGCTATATAAATTGTTCTGTGTTGAGATTCTATATCAATATTTTAAAATGTTTTTATGAAAAATGCACACAATTCCTGGGGCTGTGACAGAGCGCTTAAAATAAAATGTGGCCTTTAGGTGACGGTGGAGGAAGGGGAAATAATTTTTTTTCTTCGGGAGCAGGAAAGCATTACAGAAACATTAATGCAAAAGACACTTGGAGAAGTCATTCCAGAAGAGTTCAGACCTGCTCTTAACAGTCTGAGAATTCCTTTCACACTTAGTCCCTGCACTGCAGTGGTTCAAGCAACATCCAGTTTAAAAGAGCTTATGTATTTTTTTTTTGCTTGTCTTTTTTACAGCATAAAATTGTCTTCCCCTTTTAGAAGAAAAACACTGCAGGGGCACCATGGTGGCTCAGTTGGTTAGGCATCCTACTCTTGATTTTGGCTCAGGTCATGATCCCAGGGTCACAGGATCAGGCCCCGATTCAGGCTCGACGCGTGCTTAGGATTCGGTTTCTCTGTCTCCCCTGCCCCTCTCCCCCGTTCCCTCTCTCTCTCACACACAAAAAAGAAAAGAAACAATTCAGTCAACATTTAAAGCGCTTAGAATAGTGACTTGCTCATAGTAAGTGCTAAATAAAATGGTGGTGGTTGTTTACTGAAAAGCTGATTGTGCTAGGCCCTGCAAAGTGCTATGGAGAGGTAAAGATGGATGGATAGAAGGATGGATGGATGGATGGAAGGAAGGATGGTGGAAGGGAAGGAAAGGAAAGGAAGGGAAATGGGTGGATGGATGGAAGGATGGATGATGGATAGATAAAAGGATTGATGGTGGAAGAAAGGAAGGAGAGGTAAGTGGGTGGATGGATGGAAGGAAGGAAGGGTGGATGGATGGATGGGTGGGTGGGTGGAAGGATTGATGGTGGAAGGAAGGAAGGAAGGAAGGAAGGAAGGAAGGAAGGAAGAGAGGGAGGGGAGGTAAGTGGGTGCAAGGATGGAAGGATGGACCACCCCAACAGATATTTATTGAACTCTTGCAGACTCGGAGGGCACCGTGGTGCCGAAAGGTAAATGTGAAAGAGTGCTCAGAAAGCCAGTTGGTGGAGGCAACCCCCTTGCTAAAGCGTAGGAGTGAGGTCAAGACGAGTCTGAAAGGGTGAAATGACTTGATGTTCCTCCGCACACTGCCCTTAGACTAGGAGCTGCTCGTGCGAGCAGAAATCTCACCTGATTCCCCGATGGGCGGAACAGCCCAAGCAAAGAGTGAGCACGCGAGTGTCTGTGGAATGAACGCGTGAATGAACGGGAGGCAGTGGAAGGGGAGGAAGGGGCCACTGGGGCAGAGCAGGGCTATAGAGCAGGGCACTCTCGGTGCCCATTATTTCCTGGTCATTGTCATGCAAACTCAGAACAAAAACCACAGCCGACAGCCACCCCGTGTGCAAACTTCAGAGTGTCGGGTGGGGGGTGGGACTTGGAGCTGTGGCCGGCCGGCCATTTTGACGTGATTAGCCGTAACGGGCACCTCGGTGAGGAATGAGTGTAAACGTGAAAGTTGAGGAATAAATGATCATTGTGCTCTTTTTCTGCCCGTCCAGAGATTTGTGCCTTTAAAATCTCATTCACGTCCATGCCTTCGTTAACCTGTGACTGTAAGGGCTTAATCGGTGCAAACTCTAAATCCTGTGCAAACACAGACTTATACGCCAGCACCTTTCTTCCTGTGTACTGTTGGGCTAATCCACTCGAGCGCATCTGGCGTTCCAAGGTGCGTGAGCAGGTTGGTGCCAGATAACCCTCAGCTCTCTGCAAAGCTGTCCACACGTGTGCGTGCATACTCAAACGTGCCTTTCCTCTCCGGACCTCCTGCTCTCTTTAAAGGATCACATACCTGTGCCTGTAAAGGAATTTATAATTCATGAACGTTCTGGGCTCTGAGCCCACTTTTTACCAAGCAGCCTCCGTATATGTCCTCACATAATGCGCTTGGTGTGAGGCACTGTTATATATGCCAGAGATCCTACTAGAGACAACATCAAGTCAGAGAGCAGAGACGAGGCCTGGAATCCGATGGGAATGTGACAGGGTGAGGAGAATGTCCAGGAACATGCCATGACCACCCCAGGGCCTTGGTGGGGTCTCTCTGTCGGGGAGAGGGCTGACCTCGTCCCCAGCCTGGCCCCGTGCAACCCACCCGGGCTCTGGCTCTCCCGTCAGTTGCACCGCGCGAGGGCCACGGTGAGCCGGCCACGGGACGGGCGCCAGGTCGAAGGCGAGAGAAAACCCTAACCTCTGCTCCTGTGCTGTGTCCTCAGATGAAGGCCTGTGGGACATGTTTGCGAAGGACATCCCCCGGAGTGCCACCTCCTACACCGTCAGCCTGGACAAGCTCAGGCAGGGAGTGACGTACGAGTTCCGAGTGGTGGCCGTGAACCAGGCGGGCTACGGGGAGCCCAGCAGCCCCTCTACAGCCGTGTCAGGTAGGGAGCCCTGCCCAAGCAGGGGAATCTCAGGACAAAGCCCTGTCCCCTGAGGGAGGAGAGGGAGACATGGGGCCGTCACGAAAAGACAGAGGACAACACTGTGCTTCATGTAGGCGGCCC